TTTCTCCACCCACGAGTACCAAATATCTTTCAAGTTCAGTGGATTTTTAGATGTGCAGGTTCATGATATCCGTTATCATAACACTACCGATCCCGTTATTGTTGTGTACGTATACTTGTACTGGCAATCCACTCGTCAGGTCTCAAACTGGAGCTGCTTTCAGCGGCCAAATGAGGTTTAGGTGAATTGTGGTAGAGGTGTGCTCGGCTACAGTAATCGTGAACGACACGACATTATCGTTCTGCTTCGAGCTCAGAACATCGCCATTTAATTAATCGACTACTACTTTTACTCAGAGCAGTTACATCTTGCTATCGACCTGGTTACACACACGGCAATATGCAATGTTTGTAACGAATCGGGCGAGTATTACGATTCACTCTTGAAATTTTAAATTTCAGGAAATACAAAGACGCGAGAGCCATGCTCGCTCCCGATGTGTTACTGAACTACCTATATCGGACGAAGCGTTATTTTTATTTTGTATGTAGATACTCATCTTAAAACAAATATTGCACTTGAAATGTTAAAAAATATAGGACACTTTGCTACCAGTTACCATCAAAATTGATTGTAGTCTATTACCTGGGGACCATTAAACTTAGAACATCGCGATAACAGTGGTCGTAAACATAAACTAGTACCCGTAAAAGCGGCATCTCCCCGTTAGTGTGTTTACCCACACACCCTATCCACAGAACATGTCAATGGTTTAACTGAGCCAGCTCAGGGTTTCATCACGTACGGATTTTGACGCATACGGCTAACTGCGTATGCATCTGAGAGTCGATACTAGTGTATGGTTGGTTATCATTTCCTCTCCCCAACATGTCACTACCGTATGATTTAAAACACCCAAGACTGTAGTTACTTTGCACATCAATCACTATATTGGATATCATAGTACAAGTATTTGGGGGCTTTGTGTGTTTGGTAAAAAAAAGAAAATATTATTGATGGATTATCAATACTTGTCACTTCTGAGCGATTAGTCAAAAGGCCGGGAGGCCGGAATTCCAGTTAACTTGTAAACGTGGTCGTTGGGACTGCCGGCCTTGACTGACAATAGAGCAACAAAACAACATAGAGATCGTAAACTTGATACCCTAACTAAAGCATACCACTCGTGAAGTGGGAGTCTACTCGGAGCAATGCCGGGATATAAAGCCGATGAATGAGAAAGCGCCATCATAGTTACATTATAGAAATAGCTAGTCTATGGAATTATATTGTACAAATACAGCTGTGGTCGTCCTATTCTATAGTTCAATATTTTGTTATTCTGTTATAAGAATCTGTAGTTTTTCGAAAAAAAAACGACTTTTTTAGATAGGGATCAAAATGTGTGTACAAGACTGATTAATTCGTTCTCACACGTTTTTCTTTTTATCTTTATATTTTTGACAATAAATGACCACAATTTGACACCAAAGACTGATTGGTCACAAACCATGTGCACGTGTGCATCACTTTTGTACACCCATATGTGAATGGAAGGGAATCGATGCAAGCAAGCTACATGCGACAAAGTCATACGCACCGATGCACAGACAAAGAACATTGACCAGAAGATATAAAACAGAGCAGTATCAAACACCCGGCAAAAGTAATTTATGACACATTCTCAGAATGGGTTTTTCAACTGTTTATGAAAAAGCCTTAACGAAAATACCCAGAATTTATTCATTTTGAAATAAATTATAGTCTTGGTCAATGTAAGGAAATCGTATTTGCTCTATTAGAAGCATACGTAAACCACAAATTGCATATGTTATACACTGAAACATTAAAGTGCAGTGGTCGTCGCGCTGCGCAAGTGTGACATTTGTGTTGATAAACATTGATTTTTCCCACAATCCAATGCGCTCTTCAAATGAAAATCACAAGTATGAGGGTTGACCTGGGCACTGATTACCGCCGGTGACTCCTTCGATACCTTCAAATCACCTAATTAAAGCTTGCAAACGTCCCAGTTTGTACTCGTTGATCTGCGCAAATTTCAAATTCTGTATATTTATTTATAGGAGGCCCATATATTTCATGCATACGTGGCGCGACAACCCTTTAACATATTCTTTATTTTGACTATAGAAACACCCTTGTAATTTACGCAAGTACATACACTACTTACAAAGCAAATAAGGTACAATTGGGTGTCACCAGCCTATTTTTTTGTTGTTGAGAAAATCATGATGGTTGTATTTTAGTGAACAGCAGTCATTCTTTTACTATTGGTTTTTATGTTGGAGATACATGTATTGTGCCATATCACAAATTGAAGGGTGGTGACATAGGGTGAAAGAATCGTGACTTGTAATCCGGAATTATTTTTTAAAAAAAATTAAAAGTTTGTGTTACCATGAAACTATAGCTCCACTGCACATTGCCATGCAATTAATGACAAACTTTCAATAAAAATTAAAGAATGGACTTCTACTTTTAGAGCAATTTTATTAAAATACAATTTTTGTTTGGTGCTTTTTTAATTTTCCTTTATTTATACTTTAGTTACTTTCATTTGTAATCAGTGTTTATTTGACAGAGTAAAGTCTCGCAATCTGATGAAAGTGAACATGAAAATTGCAACTCTAAAAACCAGCATCAAATCAAACTGCTTGTATTGTAAACAATGGTTGAACCCGATTTGTGTAAGGCATTCTGATTGGAAGAGTAATTTGCTCAGTGACTATGAGGAATACAGAAAATTGCACTCAAATTTGAAACTTTGGGTTTTGCGATCAGGTAAAAAGAAAAACAATAGTTTTAATCGATAATAGTTAATAAATAAGTATATACATGTAATAGGAAGATAGAAAAAAAGAGACGAAAAAATCCAACAGAGATGTATGACTTGTCTATCAGTGCATAGAGCAGGGACAATTCAATTAAATTATGTATATGAATATCATGAACACAGCAATTAAATATTACAATCTTTATTTCATTACACCATATAAACATTATTGAAGTACAACAATTAGGGAATGGAAAAAAAATATGACACAAGTAATGAGAATAAACAAAGATATATACACAATTATTCTATATCAAATATGTACAGTGAACAAAAAAACAAATATAAACTAATTTACAGAAAATATATCCCATCAGCTCGTAGAAAGCTTCTGGAATTGGATGGATGATGCCATTAAATAAATATATAATAATTAATTTAAATTTCAACTGTTACATGTGAAGCGGAGTGCCTGGATTACAACTTTCATTCAAACTGTATTTTCATGTTTCCAGAAACCACAGACGATGTAAACACAACATATGTTGGTCAGATTAATGTCTCACAGGCTCACATAATTAAAACATTAAATAGTTTTGGAAGATTTGTCCTTAATATGGGCACCTTGGTGAAAAGCGTTGGTAACATCTGCCAAATTTCACTTTTTTTTTTAAACAAATCGAAGATTCTGAATCTGCCCCGCGAGGGAGCTGAGAACTGTTTTTATTAGTTCTTGCGTTTGGTGTGCTGGACTCAAAAGGAGCAACAAACTAATTAATTAATTAATCAATATCCCTCCGATAACTATTGTCAGCTGCGAATTTGTAATTCGGATAGTAAAACTCTGCAGGTGTGTAAAATCCAAAATGATAGCTCGTCGGCACGGATTAATTTCATTTTAGAGTGCGTCGCTGGTACTTGGAGCGTGTTATTATTTACAAACAGCTCAACAGTGTCACACAGAGAGGACAACAAGCATGGAAAAAATCTAAAACTGTAAAGGTCTCATCCATGCACATGAAGGAATATATTTTGGTGTTCAGTTTTGACAACAAATGCTGTTACTGTAGGACTGAAGTGTGAAAAATTAAATTAGGCTCACCCTAACAACACCACTGACTCATAATAGGAGTCAGAGGACAAACAAAAGAATTCTTGCAACCAGCTATGGTAATCCTCTGCACAGCTACGACAGTTATACTGGCTTCTTTGCAAAGTAAATTAAGTGACAAGTTCAGAATCATGATTTTAAAATGTAAGAAAGTCAATTGAAGTCACCGCAGATTCGGCAAGCATACATAGATGATGGGACAAAGAGATTCCTATCAGCCTCCGTGGTAATAAAACACATCACCGGCGTAGATATGCTGACTTTAATCAGGTGTCAGCTTGTACAAAAATAAGTATTTTTCTCTCCCCATCTTAAGGTATGACAGACTCAATTAAAGTTGCCTCAACTACATATGGCGCAGGGAACACAGCAGACAAAGACATTCCAGTCAGAAGCCGTAGATATTAGTGCTCTGCGATGAGAATGTATGATAAGTACTCTGTCTGTAAAGTCAACTAAACCACAGGTTTACGGATAGCATTTTAAAATGAGAGACTCAATTAAAGTCACCTGAACTACACATGGTTGAAGTCACCCATACAGATTTCTTCCCGCAATTTCAGTAATCCCTGCAAACTCCCTGCAAGTGCTATTTTCAGATTAATTCCTCACAAAGGCCAAGTTGGGTTGTAATTCTAACGGAGTCCCAATGATCAGAATGTTTAATTACAAAAACAGTTCTTCGTGGGATGTTTGTTTGCCAACCTACATTCAGCATCAGAATTAATTTTAGAAACTTGCCACCTTCATCAAAGCAGTAGTAGAAAACACTAATTAACACATCAAATACAAGGAGCAAACCCCAATTGTATAACCAGTTTCTATGCTTCAGGCAATGTAAAAAAAAAATTGATATTGATCCCCACACCGAGTGAGTTGGATTACAAAGAAAACCGAACAAAGCACTTGTACACGCTGAGGTTCAAGTGTGAAGAACAAAGTATATCAATTTAATGGCAACAACAAATGCCCATATAAGGCATTAACAGTAACTACGAATAGCGAGTAACCCCCCCCCCCCTCAATATTTGTTTGTGATCCTGAGATGGGCAAACACTTTTATTCTTTCATTTTGTGAATGTTTGGCAGAAACCAGGAAAAATACACACTCTGAACAGAAACAAATTAGTTATTTGGGGGGGGGGGCAACACAATCACCATATAACGTCTATGGTATATGCACAAAATGTATGCTAGCAAAACCAGAATCTTTTTTCTTCAAACATTTTCAGAAAGATACATATATTGAAAAAATGTGGAATCTTGGAGGCAAATCACAGTACAGTGAGTGTATGGAAAGATGTAAACAGGTACAGTCATTAAAACTCAGGAAAAACCAGCTTTTATGATCTTTACCAAGGCTTGAATATTGTTATTCTTGATTGCTGCTCTGCAGGAGTTGATTACCTGCGTCTTGAACTTGCCAACTGCAAATGAACATGCGAGACAATGTGAATAACAGTAATCCTGTATTTGAAGATAAGCCGTATTCACAGTTGTCTGCTTTATTGCAAACATAACAGATATACCACAAAAAAAAAATCTCTAGTCTTGGCGAATTCCACATGGTTTTATATAGATGAACACAGAATTCCAAATACCAGTAAACATTTTATACACACATATCTTTTTTAAAGAAGGTATTTTACCCTCATTGAGGCTGAATTATTATTCCTTTCAAAAGTATGTTTTTGATTTTAAATTTGCCCATCAGCATTAAAAAATGACAAATGTTAATTTGCTATAAATCAAACAGGCTACTACATATTTTTTTTTAGCTTTTACTGTATTTTTGTATGGAAAATGGAATACAAATGTTGAAAAAAAAAAATCCTAATTTGAGTAGTACACCTGCCTGTGTACTGTAAAATGACTAATTTTCACTGGGTTTAAATTTCACTGATTTACCATTTCAGGCATATTCAGTGGGTTTTAAATTCACGGTTTCGTCATTTAGATAATGTGTTCTATGCTAAATTTTACATATTCACTGTGTTTTAATTTAGCGCATTTTTCCAGTCAGCGAAATAAGCTAAATTAAAACCCAGTGAATAATTACCCCCTTTACAGTATATGGTTTGAGTAATACTGCCCTCTATCATCTCACAGTTGAAGAATAAAAAGACAGGCCTGATATATAAGGTACAACATTTTGCAAGACATTATACATGTAAAAAAAAACTATATATGATAACTACATAACGAATGAAGCACTAGGTGATTGCACTACTTACCTCGCAACCTACCAGCTTTTTGTATCATTTGGTTGACTAATTTTAAACAACTTAACAATTCATTGTGATTATTACATCGTATCTTATATCCATTTATAAGATCTCTGTTCAAGTCATACAGCTCCATATATCCTTTTCTCATGTTTTTCCTATTATTAGAATAATTAAAAAAATATTGCATTTACTACTGTGTTGTCACAATAAATACAGTTTATTAACAGTTTTGTCACTTTCTGGATCAACCACTTTTTTCACAGAATAACAATCCTACTAGATCAAATACATGTACTTGTATATTTAATAAAGTATGATCGAAATCTGACAATAAATTAATATTGCACAAATTGCCAGTACATCATCTTTTCACATCAAAATAGGCTAAAAATGATGTCTCGTAGACCTTTAATTTTGAGTTACAGAAACAAGGTGAGAGACCCAAAAATTTCTAGAACTAAGAGGAACTTAAAAATTGTTTAACCCACTTTCAAAGACTTTCATTTTGTAAGGTAACAGTGAAAGAAGCAAAAACATAGAAGGAACGAACAGCAAGAAATGATCAAACTCAGAAAAAAAAAATTATTGCGGGTCATGGGAGCTTCTGCAAATTAATCTCCTAAGCAAATATTAACAAAATAAAGTGCATGATCACATTTTTCTGTAACCCAACTTTCTTAAAACATATATTTTGTTGTAGTCACATGTTAGTGGAGAATACCCTAATCACAATTACC